GCCCTCCCCGAAGCTCCAGTCCAAGTCCCGGTCCAGCTCCGCGTCAGAGAAGCCCATGCCGCCCAGAGACATGCTCTCATAGCCGGGGCTCGGGTTCAGGTCGAGCCGCTCGTCTTCGAACTCCTCATCCGATGAGGATGAGGAGGAGGAGGAGACCGACGACGAGTGGGAGGCTGACGGCGTCGGGGAGGAGGCGCGGGAGTACCTGAGGCGCGCGGTGGGGGACGACTCGCCGCCCGCGGGGCTCTGCTCCTCGTACAGGCTCAGCGGGTCGCTGGATTCGGCCGAGCTGCTCAGGGTGGGACTGGCCGGGACCGCCGCGGAGGGAGGTCCGCTCTCGAAGCTCCCCGCCCCCGCGCAGGTGACGCCGCGCCTCGCCTCTCCGGCGCGCTTGTCGGGGATCTGCCTGGCCCCAGACACTGACCTGGATTTGAAGAGGGTCTGGTGGTCGCCGCCGAGGGGCGCGCCGTCCGGACCCGGGGGGCTGGTGGACTTGCTGGCTACGTGCTTGTGCGCCCGGCTCGCCGCTTTGGCCGCGGGGCTTCTTTTGGCTTTGCTGCTGCGCTCCGAGCTCTTCTCCCCGCGATCCGCCTGCTGCTTAGTCGCCCCGCCGCCGGACTTGACCTTCTTCCTGGGCCGGTACTTGTAGTCTGGGTAGTCGGCCATGTGTTTGAGCCGCAGCCGCTCGGCCTCCCGGATGAAGGGGATCTTGTCGGCGTCTTTGAGCAGCTTCCACCGCTTGCCCAGCCGCTTGGAGATCTCCGCGTTGTGCATATCCGGAGACTGCTCCATGATCTTCCTCCTTTCGATCTGCGACCAGACCATGAAGGCGTTCATGGGTCTCTTGATGTGGCCCGTCGGGGTTTTGCACCAGGCCAGGTCGCTCCGCTCCGCCGGGGCGGGAGACGCATCCATCTCCGAGTCCATCTCTCCGCCGTCCGTGGAGTCCCCGGCTGGGGAAAGAGCTCGGGCGCTGCTCATGTGCTGCTGCTGCTGCACCATCCTTACAGTGCGTAAAAAAAAGTGCGTAAAAAACACCACGGCTTCTCAACAATACTCCCCACTCGTTCCTATCACACGGACGGATAAACTTGTGCCTCGCAACAACAACAGAAAAAAAAAGTTTCTCTTCAATTTCGACTCGGAACCTTTTGGGTTCTATTTTCTTGAAGGAAAAAAAAACTACAACAATAAAAAAACGAGCCAAGAGTCAACTTTTCAACTGCCGGTGCGGCTGAAAACTCGACCCACTGGACTCAGAACGCGTCGCTGTGGACGGCACCAGTGCAAGTCCCTCAAGTGGACGTCAGCAGCGCGGCTCGTGTGTGCGGTTGAGGAACCATGTGGTTGAATGGAGCAGCTGCGTTTTCTCATAGTCTCCCCGTTTGCCTGCGCGCTCTGTCAACGTTACTGTAAACACAACAAGGACCGCCGCGCGATTTTATAGCTTCTCGGACGAAGAACCGCGGCCAATCGGCGCCTGTCTCCATCCCCGTTTATTCACTGGGGCCGCGCCCCTCGCCCTCTGATTGGCTGGGCGAAAAAAGACACGGGCAATAATAATAATAATAATGTGCAATGAGGATCGGTGTGTCTGACCTCATTCCTGTCAGACTGGAGAAGGGAGACAAACTTAGTGTATTTATTGCATGGAGCTCAGTGAGCTTTATTTTTTTTTCTTTCACTAGTTGCTGCTGTTCAAATAAAACTATGTGCAATCGCGAGGCAATGAAATGTTTTGAGTGGGATGAGGGGGGGAAACCAACCCAGCAAGAAATTCACCCAGCCTGTTATTGTGCATCACTGCCCCTCCACATAGCATTACATCACAACAAGTACCGTAAACAAGAGTGTATGAATGGCTTTCGGAACACCAAAAGCGGAAACAGTGTTGAGGTCAATCTAAATCCCAGGGGTCAAACTCCGATCCTCAGTGGGGGAGGGGCGGGGGCACCATCCTGCATGTTTTTCCTTCCTCCAACTCACCCGTACCGAAACATCTCCGATATGCCGGGGAATGCCCCCCCGAGTGCCGCAGTCTGGCACCTGTGATCTAAACAGTATTTTGAAGCAATAAAAAACGTTGAGCGTTCACCCATCTCAACTCCCCAGCTTTACTCTGGTCACATGTTCATGTCACGTAAAATCACATTACACTTGGTGTCGCTAGATGTCAGGCTAGAGCCAAAAGGAGCTGATGGAGCGTGTGC